ATACATAGAAAAACAGTTCAGATACACAAAATAAACAGATCGAATATATTATCTAATCATTAAGTACATATCAAATACATACAAAAAAACATTCTATCAAATTAATAGAAGAATATTCTAAATACACGGAATGAATATATTAGATACATCTTATTATTACGTATATATTAGATACATAGAAGACACATCATATATATAAAAGAATAATTCAGATACACCGAATAAACAAATCAGATACACATAATTTAGGGGTTGCAAATATTCCAAAATTGTTATACGTGTGATTTCCTCCTTAATTTATGTCTTTCAATTACATTCCTTATTTAAATACTCTTAACTATATGTATCTGATTAACATGTGTCCGAGATACATGTATATGTATCCATGTGCGAGTTATGGTAGGATTGGTAATATTGCAAACTCATGGGAAGGAAGGTAATTAGCTCCTAAACTAGTGGTATTTGTGTTGTTTACCTAAAAATCATTGAGTCAAGCGAGTCAGATTGGGCGGGTCAAGACCCAACCCGTTTCTAAGCCCATTAAGCCCAAAGTAAACTTGGGCGGGTCAGGACCCAACCCAATTTCTATTTTAACCCATTTTAATATCTTTAATTTCAACTCAACTCGCCCATTTGACACCCCTAAATTTTTTCCCATCATGAATAAATGAAAAAATTTAGACTTAAGTCATCTGCGACCCCTTAAAGTTGTCCGCATAATTCATTTAGACACCTCAACTAGGACTATTACCTATTGAACACTTTTATCTAGCCAAAACCCGTTCCTTTTAGACCTTTTTCGAAAATCAGTAAAAAAAAGTAAAGTGTGTGTAATACACTTGCTATGATGTGGCAAAAATGACTAATTAAAAGATAACATGTGTCACTTGACCCCAACAACTATAATTTTTTTTAATGTTAAAAAGAATGAAAATTATTTCAAATAAATTAAATATCTATTTTTTAATTAAAAAAATAAATGAAATGACAACACATTTTACTCAACCCCACCCTACCCAACCCCCTTTCTTCTTCATCTTCTTCGCAACAATTTTTTTCTCAAACCACATAAACCAACTTCACTGCAAATTACTTGCAGATTCAGTTTTTTTTTTTAAATTATTTTTTATTCCTAATACGTGAGAGAGAAAGATATTCAAAGAGACTGATACAATAATCATGAAGAAGTTTGTCAATGGTTACTCATCTGGAAATCGATTGCAAAGAAAAAGAAATTAATTTTATCAAAAAATATTTTTCATTCCCAATACGTGATAGAGAAAGATATTCAAAAAGTCAGTATAAGAGTGATGATGAAAGGAAGTTTGCCAATGGTTAATCACCTTGAAATCGATTGCAAGGAGAAATCAAGAGGACCTAAATTAATTTTATCAAATTATTTGATATTTTTTTTGATAAGTTTAGCGGGTTTACAATT